GCGCAAAAAACCCTCCCCCCCGCGGCGGGGGGGGGGGGGGGGGGGGATGATCTGCTGACATGTTCTTTCCTCCATCCAGCCAGTAAGCTCACCAGCAGGGTTAGGAATAGTAAAAACTTGACTGCCCTGTGCTCCGGGCTCTCAGGGCTGTTTACAAAACCCACAGCAAAGCAGCTGGCTGTGGGACAGAGCCCTCATCGCCCCTCCCTCCCCCCCCAAAGCCGCTGGCGCTGTGGGAATCACAGGCCCGGGAAACAATAGGGACGTGCCAACCTGTAGCCTTTGTCCAAGCTGAGCACTCCCTTCCTTTCTCCTGGCTCTGTCTGCAAGCAGAGATGCCCTGGTGCTTCCTGATCATGGCTGGCTCCCTGGCCCGCCGGGGACATGTGCTCCCTCCTGCCACACTGGCAAACTGCTCTCTTTTCAGAGGACCCCGATCCACTGAAAAGGGGCAGGCAGAAATGCACCCACCCCGGGCCCCAGGTGTATTCGCGGCTGGGCTCTACACGGTGTTGAGTTCTCCCGCCCCAGTGAAGTCAGGGGGAACGGCCGGCACTCACCGCTGGAGATGGGCCACATCTGCAGGAGGTTTGAGGGACACGGGTTCAACCAAAACTAAGACAAATGTGTTTCTCTCTTGGCAGGGAAGAATTCAGAGGGATTTCCCCCGGGTGAAGATCTTGGCCAATAGCTAGCAGCATGGGGTGTGTTCCAAAGGAGAGAGAGAAGGAGGAAGGGAAGACGAAAAGGGCACTGTGACACAACAAACGGCGCGGGGAAACCTGCATCCGCTCGGGGCAACGTCTTTGGCCCAAGGCTCTCCAGGCGCTTTGCCACGGGGAGACGGTAGCACGGCTAACCCCATTTCACAGGGGCGCAAACTGAGGCACAAAGAGGAAAAGTGACTTGTCCGAGGTCACAGAGTGTCAGCCGAGCGGGGAGGAGAACATGGGGACCGTCCCGCAGGGCCAGCCTCATGGTCCATCTAGCGCCGCACCCTGCCTTCTGACACAGGCCACTGCCACGTGCTTCAGAGGGAACAAACAGGGCACGATCCAGCCCGTCACCCACTCCCGGCTTCTGGCAATCAGGGGAGTAGAGGCACACACAGCGTGGGCGTCTCCCTGGCTAGCTTGGCTAATGGCTACTGACGGCCCATTCCTCCAGGAACTTATCGAGTTCTTTATTAACCAATTCGATTTCTGGCCTTCACAACGACCCCTGGCAATGAACACCAAGGGAGAAGACCTACTTCCTTAAGTTCCTTTTCAACCGGCTGCCCATTCAATTTCATTGGATGACCCCTGGTTCTTGGGTTACCCCGCCCTGCTCTCTTTCTTTCCATCTGTGGTTTTATAGATCCAGCTCAGGTGTCTCCTTTCTAAGCTGGTCCAGACCCTGGGTCACTGGCGTTGCTCTTCTCTGTACCTCCTCCAATTCTAAGGTGTATTTTTGGAGATGGGGTGACCAGGGCGGCATGCAGCATTCAAAGTGTGGGCGTACCATGGGTTTCTATGCTGCCATGATGACATTTTCCATCTGATTTTCTATCCCTCTCTTAAAGGCGCCTAATCGTCTCTTTGCTTTTTCGACTGGCGCCGTGGAAAGCAGATGTTTTCAGAGAGCTAACCGCCAGAACTCCGAGATCTCTTCCTGGAGTGGTAGCTGCTAAGCCAGACCCCGTCCTGTGGTGTGTGCCGGTGGGATTGTATTTTCCAATGTGCATTTCTGGGCAGTCCTCAGCACTGAATTTCACCTGCCATTTTGTTGCCCTAGCTCAGCTCTCTGGACTCCCAGTCCCCCACGCTGCCTATGGGATCAGAAATCGTCCCCAAAGGTGTAGGGCAGGGGGGGCAAGGCAGGGATGGAGCCAGGGAGGGTGTGCTCTGCTTGTCTGCAGTTCAGAGCAGTGGCAGGCACACATGGCGTGGAGCTGAGGGGACTGTAATGGCAGATGGGCAGAGTGGGGGCAGCACCTGGGTTTGGGGGAGAAGGGGGAGCCTGAAATGCCCTGTGTGGCCAGAGAGGCAATTTGCACACACACACACACACACACACACACACACACACACACACACACACACACACTGGAAGCCAGTGCCAGAAAGCAGCGGAGAAAGCCCACGTTGTGGAGCTAGGTGGCCGCTCTCATCCGACGGAGGCGCCCCCGGGGCCCATCTCCTCCCTCCCCACTGCACGTCTGGGCCCTCTCAGCTGAGTGGGGCACCAAGGCCGGGAGAAGGGCCATGCTTCCTGGAAAACACCACTTGTGCCTGGCACCTGTGCCGAGCAAAGACAGGCAGCGTCGCTGCGAGCTGCCGTGCCCCGTGCCACGAGGGGCCGAGAGGAGAAGGGACTTTTCCAAGGTCACCCAGCAGGGGACAGGGCACAGAGAGAACACAGGGGTCTTGACGCCCATGCCGGGGTCTAGGGGCAGAGAGCACCCCTGGGTAATCGCTCATCCCTCCGAGTGTCTCTCTGCCTCTTTGTACTATCTGCTACAAGCTTTAGTGAGCTGCCGTGCCCCGTGCCACGAGGGGCCGAGAGGAGAAGGGACTTTTCCAAGGTCACCCAGCAGGGGACAGGGCACAGAGAGAACACAGGGGTCTTGACGCCCATGCCGGGGTCTAGGGGCAGAGAGCACCCCTGGGTAATCGCTCATCCCTCCGAGTGTCTCTCTGCCTCTTTGTACTATCTGCTACAAGCTTTAGTCCCTTCCCTCCAGAAACCAGAGCCAGGGGCTCAGCCCACAGGTCCCAGCAGGGTTCGTCTCTTCCCAGGGCTCCGTCCCCGCCAGGCCGGGGAAGCAGAGTGGCCTGAGCACGGGCCAGACAAGCCACGCTGCCTCCCAAATGCATCAGGGCTCATTCGGAGCAGGCTGGCGCGTGTCTCGGGGGGCCAGGCAGAGGGCGAGGGGGCAGCTGTCAATGCCAGCCTCTCCGTGGGGTGGGGGGAGGCGCGTTAGCGGAAAGCAGGGTTCTCACCTTATCTGCAGGGCGGGATAGATCGTCAGGTACATCAGGAAAACTTTCCCCGACATCTTCAATGCACGAGCCAGGTGAGCCCAGGGACGCGCGGTGTCCACATACAGAGCGGCAGCTCGGGCAGGGGGCTGCAGCGTGACGGATGCCTTCCTCTCTCGTTTGTGGGGGGGCCCAGGGGCTCCCCGAACTGCCCCGAAGGGCGGCCAGCTCTGCCCGGGTGTGCTGCAGCTGGCGTCCCTGGGGGCCAGGAGAGAAAACCCTTCGAGCGACCCAAGAAAAGACAAAAGGGGGGCGGGGGAACCTGCCCAGAAGAATCCAAGTTCAGAAGGGGCAGGAAACCCGAGCCTGGTGTCTTCAAGTCTCCTTGTCCTCCAGCAAGTTGAGTGGCTTTTCGTCCATTCCCTGCCTCCGTGGGCACTGCCTCGGTGGCTTGAGCCTTCAATTCCCACTGCCCACGGAAGGGTTTCCCCTCTGAGCCTGTCTCCCAGCTCCCCAGCCGTGCCTGTGCCCAGCTCACAGGTGCCGAGTGGTCTGTGTGCGCGCACCACTAGCCCCACCGGTTGCTATTGCAGGCTGGAATACTGAAAACCTCTTCTCTCTCGTCCCCTGCTTTTCGCTGCTTCTCTCTGTCTCTTCTTTCTGGGCTTCTCTCTCCACCCCTCCCAAGCTCTCCTTCCCTCCTTCCCACTGGCTTTTGAGCCTTCCTCTCTGGTCTTTTTGGAAAGAAGGGTCAAAGTTGGGCATTTCTTCTCCTACTCCTTGGCAGGAGAGGAGCAGAGCCACTGAGCCGGAGACTGGCAGGGAAGAGAAAGATGCTCTCAGTTTCACTCAGGGTCCTAGCTCCCTCCCTTTCCGTGCCAGGGCTTGGGGTGGGTCACCTCCTTCCCAGCAGGGCAAGGGTTAATCAGGGGGGGCGGGGGGGGGGGAGTTCTTCTCCTTTGCTGACAAAGGCTGTATCCAGAAATCAAAGGGAAATGCCGATTTGCGTGTCACCACGTTGCCACGCGGAAGCTTTTGGGAAGGAGGAAAGCGGAATTCATTAACTTGTGTAAAGCTCTCGTGCTCCGCCTTCACCTAACGAGACATGACAAGGTCGCCGCTCGTTAATCACATCGCAGCTTAAAACTACACGCGCTCTTTTGTTCCAGGCAGTCGCGAGCAAAATCATGCCAGGAGCCAAGGCCAGCAAGGCGCAGGACAGGGCAGGGAAGGCGGCCTCACACCCAGTGCATTGTGGGTGCCAATGTGCTAGAGAGCATCACCGGTCATTGGCCCCTCCGTGGGGTGAACCTCTCCAGGTGCAGCCTGGCTCCAGGATGAGGGCCGGGTCTAGGGGCATTCCCAGTGCCTGTAACATGCTGGTGGGATCCTGCCCTCTCAAGCCCATTCAGGGTGTGTCTAAACTACATGGCTCCATCGATGAAGCCATGAAGATTAGGCTGATCGGCAAAGGGAAATGAAGCCGCGATTTAAATAATCGCAGCTTCATTTAAATGTAAATGGCTGGGGCGGGCGGGGGGAGCTAGTCTGGATGCTCCTGCGCCGACATGAAAGCCCTTTATCGACCTCCCTGGTAAACCTCATCTTACGAGGCATAACGGGGAGGTCGATAAAGGGCTTTCAGGTCGGCGTGGGAGCGTCCAGACTAGCGCGCTGAGCCGACAAACAGCTGATCGGCAGAGCAGGGCAGCCATTTTAATTTAAATGAAGCCGCAATTATTTAAATCGCGGCTTCATTTCCCTCTGCCGATCAGCCTAATCTACATGGCTCCATCGATGGAGCCAAGTAGTTTAGACGCACCCTCAGAAACCCAGCTTTTGCCTCTCAGAGCAGCTCAGATCTCCAGCTTTCATGTCTCACCTCCTTATATCTCTCCTTTACCAGGGAGCCAACCAAACCGCCACCGTGGTGAGACAGCTGGTGTGCTGAGATCACTGCTAGGCCTGCTGGCCATCTGAGGAAGTGGGCTGTGCCCATGAAAGCTCACGATACTGTCCACAGATATTGTTAGTCTCTAAGGCGCTGCAGGACCACTCGTACTTGTAAAAAAACAGGGAGTGGCAATGCCCTGGGTACTAGAGGCCGCCGGGCTGAGCGAGGTTACCGTGAGGGGGCCATGTCTCCGACCTGCGTACACAGGCATGATCAATGCAACACACTGGCTCTCGGCTCAGTTTACGGTGCGTGAGGCCCTGGGTCAGAGTCTATAACTGAGGCAAGCGCAGAAGGTTCCTGCGCCTTTGACAACCAGGGCTGATTGCTCAGTCCTTCATGCTGTGCTCGTCAGTACAACTCAGCAGGTTGGGCTTTACTTGCAGAGGGGCTGAAGAGAGACACCCTGTGTTAAATTACTCAGGAGCAACAGTGGGAAGAATCGGGGCCCAGCTACCGGAGGAGCCCACGCTCCTGGAGAAAGCAGGTCCCTGGCACTGGCGGATGTGTGGGGAGTGGAAGCCGCCTGATGGAATATCACCTAGTGTGGCAAGCCAGGGGTGCTGGCCGAGCTAGGAGGCAGCTGCCGGCCTGGGAGAGCTGGTCAGGACTTGGGTGCATCGCAGGGCAGAATGGGGACTCTGGGACTGGCAGGCGCAGAGGTGGCTGCCGGTCAGGCGGGAGGGGCTGTGTCTGGGTTGTGTCCCAGAACTGGAACTGCAGAGGAGCCAGTGGTCCGGACTGAGGTGAATTTGCCCTGGCCCCTCCCCCCGCTGCTCTGGGTGATCTGTTGGCTGCAAGCGTTGCTAGGGGCTCTGGCCTTCCTGTGGGGCCCCTGCTCTCGGGCTTTGGGGGGCAGCCTTGCACTGGAAGCTGAGTATCCTCCGGCCCGTTTGGCCACGAATGGGGGCTAGATCTGGCATCCTGGCCGGCGCTCCCTGTGGGAGCAAACCAGGTTCTAATCCACGTGCTGAAAGTCTGCACAGTTCCTAGAGTAGCCACTTCCCTTTCAGCCCTCAAGCCTCCTCTCACGCCAGTGTAAACAGGAGTCACGCCCGTTCAGGGGACCGGGGCAGAGCTAGTGTAAACCAGAGGCGAATCTGGCTCACCAAACCTCATTTCTGAGGCACAGAACAGCCTACAATGGCAGAATCTGTTCTCCCCATCGGGACCTTTAGCCAACCTCGCAGGCCGTTAGTACCTCGTGCGCTCGCTGGAAAACCCCTGCATGGCGGCCGACGCTGCATCCCGGCTTATCACTCACCCCTTCAGTGGGGCTCGCTGTGGCTGGCGATGGCGTCTGAAGCAAACAGGACACAGCTTGATTTGCAGGTGCCAGGTGGAGCTTGCGGTGCTGACAGGCCAAAAGAGTTTGTTTCGACTTGTAAGCTGAGCAAACGTAACAGGGAAAGTCACCGAAGGAGGATGAAGAGGGGCGGACGAGCAAGGCCGCTCTTAGGTCTGTGCTGGATGAGACCCTCCCCACCCTGAACCTCCTCTCCCCCATATAGCCAAGCCCTTCTTTACAGATTTGCTTTTCTGGATCTTCCCCTGCTCAGATTTTTAAGGGTTAACTTGGCTGGGTCAATATACGAAAGGAAGAGACCAGCGGTGGACACAGAAATCTCAGTCTCGGAGGTGGAGCTGTGTTAGTCTGTATCTATGGCTGTGTCTAGACTACATGCCTCTGTCGGCAGAGGCATGTAGATTAGGGTTGTAGGCAAAGGTAAATGAAGCCGCGATTTAAATGATCGCGGCTTCATTTACATTTACATGGCTGCCGCGCTGAGCCGACAAACAGCTGATCAGCTGTTTGTCGGCTCAGCGCGGCAGCCATGTAAATGTAAATGAAGCCGCGATCATTTAAATCGCGGCTTCATTTACCTTTGCTGAATAAACAAATCTACATGCCTCTGCCGACAGAGGCATGTAGTGTAGACGTACCCTATGAAAACAACAAAGTCCCGTGGATGCAGCGGACAAAGTGGTTTTTGCCCACGAACGTGGATGCCCAAATCAATCCGTTAGTCTCCAAGGTGCCACAGGACTCCTTGTCATTTTTGCAAAGTATCAGTTAGACATGAGGCACTTGAAAGAAAACATGCCGTAGGGCTTATATAGGGACGGGCGAGTCAGGGCAGCTTGAAGATCTGAATGCTAATTTAATTTCACCAGGGAGTCATATTGTCTATATTTGGGACTGTGGATATAGTATATTGTATGGGAAATGTTGTATCTATATACACATTTTAGAGATTTGTCTGGGTGTCTGTGAGCCTAGTTGTTCAAGAATTCCTTCTAAATGGTAAGAGCAAGGGCCACCAAACTTGGTTTGCAGCTTCTTTGTCTCCTCACTTAAAGCAAAGTCAGGGTGTGGTTGTGCCAGGACAACCGGAAGCCCCAGGAAAAGGACTGTTTTCCAGAACATGCAAAGGGAGGGGCTGCTGTTCGGAGGGACGTGATATGAGAGTGGCCACCAGGGGCAGTGAGCTGGCAGGGGAGAGCTCTCCTGCAGAGTTCCCCTCTGGGGGCAGCAGGTCTGGGCTCCACCATCTTGCCTGCCAGCACAGCAGGTAAGGAGCCCTTCTGCCCCAAACCCTCTCTCCCCTTCCCTTGGCTACAGCTCTGGAAGGGGTGGGGGAGAAAAAAAGGGCCGGAGGGAGAGCTGGGGGGAGAGAAAAGGCCCGTGCTGGATGGGACCCCCCACCCTGAGCCCCTCCTAACCCCCAACCCTCTCGCACACCCAACCCCAGCCTCCTGCATGGCCACCCCACATCCCCAAGCCCTGCCCTGACTCCTGCACACATGCCCCACCCATATAGCCAGCTCCCTGCCCTGATGAACCCGGGAAATGCCGGGTAAGTCTTCCAGCATACACACCAGAGAAAAACACATGCCTCACCCCCAGACATGTAATATCTTTTTCGAACCAAAGGGGAGCCTGTATTAAGGGGATCTGTATTAAGGATAAAAGGACCCACCGATATCTGGTCTGATATAAACCAGGGGCTGTCCATGGCAGGGCATTTATTTTGTGATGGGGACACAGTTCATCCCCTCTGCTTCTTTCCTTACAGCCCTTCTGTTTGTCTTCCTCCTTCACCTCCATGCTCACCTTAGTCACCCGAAGGCAGAGGAAGTGCTCCCCACAGATCCCTGTCAGTGTGTCTCCGTCCTGCTCAAGTGGGATCCTGTCTTAGGCTGAGAAGGAAGTGCTGTTTCCCTGGCCCATTCAGTCTGGCGCGTCCGCTGAGGATGCTAACACGCCTGCTGTGGCCAGCTGTGGTGGTGATTTTGTGCTGTGCACTGGCTGGTCTAAGAATACTAACTCGTTTCTGCCTCTCCGATTGTATCATACAGGTCATTGGGCAGCCATTAGATGCTGGAACGATATTAATAATCCTACAGAACATGCATGCGCTGGCTTTCTCCCTGGGAGAATTCCAGAGCACTGCGCTGGCTATGCAAACCACAGCGGAGGTAGCGAGCTCTTCGGCTCTTACCGGAATGCAGCTCCTTCTGGGGTGGAACACTTCCGCTTGGTGGCTGCCTGATGCCTGTGTCCTCACTGAACCTTTGGGGGAACTGAGATAGATGGACCAGCTCGGAAACTCTTCTCTCTCACCAACAGCAGTTGGTCCAATAACAGATATTACCTCACCCGCCTTCTCTCATGAAACACCGGGGCTGTGTCTACACTGGCAAGTTTTTCCGGAAAATCAGCCGCTTTTCCGGAAAAACTTGCCAGCTGTGAAAAGCACTGACGATCTCATGTAAAGTCATCAGTGCTTTTCCGGAAATACTATGCTGCTCCCGTTCGGGCAAAAGTCTTTTTCCGAAAGACTTTTGCGCAAAAGGGCCAGTGTAGACAGC